CTGCCCAGGGAGGGGGTGGAGTCCCCATCCCTGGCTGTGTTTAAGGGCCGTTTAGATGCAGTGCTGAGGGACATGGTGTAGGGGAGGACTTTGTAGAGTAGGGGAGATGGTTGGACTCAATGATCCCAAGGGTCTCTTCCAACCTCAATGATTCTATGATTCTATGTTGATACATAAGTTTTGCTCTGTTTGGTCCAAGAACTCCTGCGAGGGAAGGAAATCACTCCTGGTGTGACGTGCAGGGTCTGCCTTTCCCTTATCTCCAGATATCTCACTCTGTAAAACCGGTCTCTTCCTCCTTCCTCTTTGCCTCAAAACTGAATTTTTTTCCTTCTGCAGGTGTTGCTGTCTCTGTCCTTCCCGTCCCCGCTACGCCCCGAGTGTCACCATCGAAGAGGACAATTGCTGTGGCTGCAATGCCATCGCCATCCGGCGCCACTTCTTGGATGAGAACATGACCTCAGTGGACATTGTTTACACCTCTTGTCACGACGCAGTAAGGAGAACCTGCCACCCCCTTCATATTTGGGGCCCTTCCTAATGGGATTTACCAGCTTCCAAGTGTAGTGGGACAAAGAAGGAAACTTAAGCCTTTTTTTTTTTTTTTTTTTTCCTGACCCTAGAACTTCCTATCTTATTTCTCCATCAAGAAATTCTGCCACTTGGACAGAAATATTTGCTCCTGCCAAAAATCAGATCATTCAGAGGAGTTTTTACCCATAAGGCATAACCTGTCACGCTGCTCTGCTTCCTTTTCCCTGAATGGGGAGAAAAAATTAAGCAGGAATGTCCTGCCTGATTGTTACAGCAGTGGATCTTTTCCAGGTCTATGAAACGCCTTTCTATGTGGCTGTGGACCATGAGAAGAAGAAGGTGGTCATTAGTATCCGAGGAACTCTCTCTCCAAAAGTAAGTGCCCCCTGCAGTGGCCACACACCCCCTTCCAGTGGCCTCACATGCCTTTGGCCACCCCGGCAAACTTTCAGGAGGGTCTGAGCCCTTCCTGACTCAACACTTTTTGTTTGACTTTTACCCAAAACGTGGTGATTTCTCCTCTTCCAGGATGCCCTGACTGACCTCACTGGGGATGCAGAGCGCCTTCCAGTTGAGGGTCACCACGGAACGTGGCTGGGACACAAGGTGTGTAAAAAAAAGAATAGAAAACAAACCCAAAACTAAAAAACCACCCGCTTCTTTTTCTGGTTTGACTTTTTAATTATAGGCCAAAAAAAGTGATCTTAAATGCTTAGGATGCTTTTGAGAAGGGTGTTACAAGCTTGTGGTGAAATGGATTTGAGATGTTAAAATAACAGCCTTAGTTGTAACAGTTAAAATCACTATGTCTGTAATTAAAAACCCCATCCAATTAGCAAAAACGAAACCGTAGAGGCCATCTGCGAAGACCTACAAGGAAATGCTTGGAGTCCTTCAAATTACTTCTTTATTTTTTTCTTCCAATGACCTTTTCAGAATTTGCCATCAAACCCTGAGAACGTGTTTAAAATTCAGTTTACAGCAGGGACGGACCCTTGAACCTCAGAAAAGGCTCCTGGCAGGACTTGGGTCTGTGTAATGAGGCTGATGCCATGTGTCTGCAGAACGATCTCGCTAAATTCAATTTACTCTAGAGCCAGCCTTTGCCCCAGATCAGCAAATAATGACCCACGCCCTGAGTTCTAAGATGATTTTTGAAAATAATATTGTCTGCCTGCTCTTTGGATAATGGGTATTTTCCTTCGTTTACCCCCGTATCAGAAAATTAACCTGGGAATTGCATAGGACAAGTTGCCAAAATGTAGATAAATGAGGGAGTATTTTGTCAACTGATACTTAGCTCTGTGAATACTTACGATTTGTTTAAGGCTCCTGAAGCATTATTTCTGCTGTTCGTCTGGCTTTGTAGTAATTAAGCTCAAAATTACTTTGCCCAATCAATGTGATCAACAGATTGCACCAAGAACAGAAGGTAAAAGGAAACCAAAGGGAATTTGTTAGAGAATCAGAGAATCACAGAATGGGTTGGGTTGGAAGGGACCTTAAAGCCCATCCAGTTCCATGATGGGGGGACACCTCCCACCAGCCCAGGTTGCTCCAAGCCCCCTCCAACCTGCCCTTGAACCCCTCAAGAGATGGGGCAGCCACAGCTTCTCTGGGCAACCTGGGCCAGGCTCTCACCACCCTCACACCAAACAAGTTCTTCCCCACAGCTCAGCTCCATCTCCCCTCTTCCAGTGTCAAACCCTTCCCCCTCCTCCTAGGGCTCCCCTCCCTCATCCAGAGTCCCTCCCCATCTCTCCTGGAGCCCCCCTTCTTTAGGGACTGGAAGGGGCTGGAAGGTCTCCCCGGAGCCTTCTCTTCTCCAGGCTGTTCTATTTTTAATGTGCAGAAAAGCTAGTCCCTGCAAAAGTTGCCTTTTTCTTTTGATCTTTATGTGAAAATATTAATATGCCGGTGACTTATATGAAATATTATCAAATCATTCCCTTTGTTCTATGTTGAGGTTTTATTTGGCCTTTGTGTTATTTCTTTTTGGATTGTTACTAGTACGGAAATATAGCTTTATCTCAAATTATTATCGATACCAATCTTCAGACAATAATATACTGTTGATTCCCGAGGGAAACTAGTAGAGATAATAGAATTTAAAGATGTCTGTCTTAATGCATTTTTCATGTCCAGAAGTCAACTTTAATGCAAAAAATAAATGAAGTATCTTGCTAACGCTTAACATTTAATTTGGAGAAAACTATTTGGCTGTTCAGGAGCTTCCAGGAAGTTGTTTGATTTGTTACTTTTCGTGCCGATTCCGTTTCGTGGGTGTTGGTGTGGCCTCTTCTCTCCACCAGGGCCTCACACCACGTCCATCAAACATCCTACAAATTCAAACTCTTGATTTTTAGGTGAGCTTTTCTTATCGCTCCCGCCCCATTCTGCAGCTGAAAGCCATTGATTCCCTGATTTGCCTCGAATGCCACAATTCAAATGTATATATTAGCTTTCTGAGGTATTCTGAGCTATTTTGGATCAAAAAACCATGGCTGTAACTAAGGTTTATGGGTTAGCATGCCAAAAAAAAAAACAAAACAAAGGGAATTTGACAATCCCTAGGGGGAAATTAATTGCAAAAACAATCTGGCTTTGCTGTGTTTGAAATAAAATCCACACAAAGTTAATTTAAAAATCACAGAATCCCAGAATGCTGTGGGGTTGGAAGGGACCTCTGGAGATCATCTCCTCCAACCCCCTGCCAGAGCAGGGCCACCCAGAGCAGGTCCCACAGGAACGTGTCCAGGTGGGGTTTGAATGTCTCCAGAGAAGGAGACTCCACCACCTCTCTGGGCAGCCTCTGCCAGGGCTCTGCCACCCTCACAGCAAAGAAGTTCCTCCTCATGTTTAGATGGAACTTCCTATGGTCCAGTTTGTGCCCATTTCCTCTTGTCCTGTCCCCGGGCACCACTGAAAAAGCCTGGCCCCATCCTCCTGACACCCACCCTTTCAGTATTTATAGGTGTTGATCAGATCCCCCCTCAGCCTTCTCTTCTCCAGACTAAAAAGCCCCAAGTCCCTCAGCCTTTCCTCAGCAGAGAGATGCTCCAGGTCCCTCATCATCTTTGTAGCCTCTGCTGTCCCCTCTCCAGCAGTTTCCTGTCCTTCTGGAACTGGGGAGCCCAGAACTGGTCCCAGTGCTCCAGCTGGGGCCTCCCCAGGGCAGAGCAGAGGGGCAGGATGACCTCCCTCCACCTGCTAATAATCATAAGTCATGGGCATGAATCCATACTTAATTCTGGTGAACCTGCATAGAATAAAACTACTAAAATAATAACGTTATGGAGGTTTGTTTTATGGTGTTGAACCAGCTGGGATGAGAAGAATTATCTGTTGTACGGAAGCCCAGAAACCTCTGCCATGATACCACCTCTCACCAGTTTGATAGAAACCTCAGTAAGATCTTTCCAGCCCTTTTCTCTACCAAACAGATCCCCTCATTCTAAGTTCTTACACACCCAATTCAACCATCGCAGAGCAGTTTTGCGCCTTCAAACTGCAAAGTGATACAGAATATTTCCATTTCACTTTTCCTGGGTCTCCAACCTGTGTGGTTATTTCCCTGTGAGGTTGGAAAATTAAGCCCAGATAGTTTCATTAATTTGAAACTTCTGAAACAGCGTCTGCTTTAAGGGAAAGTAACTTTGCAGTGATAAAAATCTTGTTCCGTAATATTAAAATCACTGTCTGTATTAGAATATACTGCAATTATCAAAAATATAGCTATGAGGCTGACTAACAGCCCATTAGTAATATCACCATGGATTTAGGTCAGGCTTTTTAAAAATAGAAGCCCAAATTCACGTTGGAAATGTAGAGAAGTTGTCTGCCATTCGCTTCTCATTAGAGTGGGAAATGGAGACTCTTTGGGATGCGGCAGGGAGATCTGAACACAGGCACCAAATAACCCCAGCATCTGCTTTTTGATAACGACACCAACGTTACAGATGTCCCATTTCCCATGTCCTCCTCATTCTCTTCAGCCCTCACGTTGGGTTTGATGGTGCGTTTGATATTGAGGACTTTGAAAAATTCCGCGTTTCTTTGCTTTTTTTGCGAGGGCCTTGAATTCTTTTACGTCTGTGCGATTAAACGGTGATCAGTGACGTTTGCTTTGTGCTTAAAACTGTTTTGAGGCAGGGCTGGAGTGGAACATAGCAGAGGGCATGAGCTTCACTGGTTTTTTAGCCAACCCAATGTGAATTATTTGAGGTCTGTAATTATAAATTATAAAAAGGTGATTCCTGTTTAACGACATTCATCCTGGTTTTCAGCCTTTGTAGCTCTTACACAGAGGGAGAAACGCCCTTTGAATGCAGCCATCACAGAATCATAGAATTGTCCGGGTTGGAAGGGACCTTTAAGATCATCTGGTCCAACCATCAACCTAACTCTGATAAAAACCATCACTAAATCATGTCCCTAAGCACTATGTCTGCCCGGCTTTTCAATCCCTCCAGGGATGGTGCCTCAACCACTGCCCTGGGCAGCCCATTCCAAGGCTTAAGAACCCTTTCAGTGTAAAAAAATTCCTGATATCCATCCTAAATGTCCCTTGGTGCAACTTGAGGCCATTTCCTCTTGGCCCATCGCTTGTTCCCTGGGAGAAGAGACCGACCCCCCCCTGGCTACACCCTCCTTTCAGGGAGTTGGAGAGAGCAATAAGGTCTCCCCTCAGCCTCCTCTTCTCCAGGCTGAACACCCCCAGCTCCCTCAGCCTCTCCTCACAAGACTTGTGCTCCAGACCCCTCACCAGCTCCGTTGCCCTTCTCTGGACCTGCTCTAGCCCCTTGTTTTGTCTTTTTTTGTGGTGAGGGAACCAAAACTGCACACAGCACTCAAGGTGGGGCCTCACCAGTGCTCAGTACAGGGGGACAATCACCTCCCACACTGTTCCTGACACAGGCCAGGATGCTGTTGGCCTTTGTGGCCACCTGGGCACACTGCTGGCTCATGTTGACCAACACCTCCAGGTCCTTTTCAGCCAGGCAGCTCCAGCCCCTCTGCCCCCAGCCTGTAGCATTGGATGGGGATGTTGTGACCCAAGTGCAGGACCCAGCACTTGGCCTTGTTGAACCTCATCCCGTTGGCCATCAGCAGAGGATAAATGTTTAGAACCCAGACTCTCAGCTTATTTCCCATCTTCCAGCAGTTCTTAACTTCTAGTGAATAAAAACTGTTCATAATTTGGGATTAATGTCCTTTGAGAGCTGAATCCTCTTCGTAGTTGCCGCTGTCTCCAGTCCTCAATAACTCTGCTGCCACTTTTTTCTCCCTCCAGTGGTGTCTTGGGGTTTGTATTATTTTCCCTGTGAACTTGTTAGGCTTTTTCATGCTTTTATTCACATATTTATATTATTTCACAGAGTGTGATTTTGCAGTTAAGGCAGTGACATGCAGAAAATCAGAGTTGGTTTCTCCATTCTACTGCGGGTCCCAGGATCTGCTGACCTACCAGATGCACAACCTTATGTTTAAGAAATGGCTTTGTGTTGCTTTTTTTATTTTCCTCTAGACTTTGCACCGTGAGCCCAGGAATAGGGCCTTTGAGTATTATCTTAATTTAAGAGCTGTCATTACTTCTAAACCAGTTTGGGGCTCTGGTAATCAGTGAGCCGAGACATCTTCCTAATGAAGTCTGGTCCTTAATGTGGAGTGGAGTCAGTGTTTGTTTTTTTCCTCAAGCCTGGCCCATGCTGTGTGTCACTCCAGAGCTTATACAACATTCAGGGCACTACAGTGTCTGCTAAATATTTAGATTTGGGCTCATCCGCAGCCGTTTTACATCCTGTTTCCTGTCTTCGTGTTTCCCTCAGGGAATGGTGCTCTCTGCTGAGTACATCAAGAAGAAATTGGAGCAAGAAATGGTGCTTTCTCAAGCTTTTGGACGAGATTTAGTGAGTATTAGTTTTCCTCTAGCCTTGCAGGCTGTACAGAAGATGAGATTTCCCTAAAACACTGAATCTGTTGTACTAATTGCTCAAATCTTCCTTCAATTCCTATCCCTCTGGATTGCCAGACAGGCAACGAGTTACTCATCCCCCTAAGGCTTTTTTATTTTGAAACCACTTATTCCTTCCTTTCTTCTTTTTTTTTTTTTTTAACTCTGGCAGAGCTGAGGCAGGAAGTCCCATTCGGTGGCAAAGGCAGGACAGGGAACATTAAAAACAAATCAACAGGAACTAAAATCCCATCTCTATGGAGATTCTCTTTGGAGACAACGATGGGATGCTGTGCTGACTGTTTGCCTGTGTGCTTTTCTTGTGACAGGGAGCTATCAGAGAGCCCGAGAGAGACGTTAGGAAGCAGCTTACCTTGGTTTATGTGTCAGTTAATAGCTCAGTTTATGTCCCCGTTGGGTAGGGAACTTCTGAACTGCCTGATCTCCTGTTTAGCAGACAGTTGTGCTTATCCCACACCTAAAAAATGCCTTGGCCTGGGTGGTGCTCATGGGAAATTAGAAATAGCTCAAGGGAGAAGGAAAAGAGGGATAAAATCCTCAGTGATTCCCAGAAACTCGAGTGTGAGACCACTCAACGCTAAACCCTTATGATGTTTGGTAGATACAGGGAGCTCTACGTAGGCATCTGATTTCTTTATACAGTATTTTATTCCTCACTGCCCAGAAAGTGCAAATTGCTCTCATTAAGTGAGCTGTTATCCATGAGGAGTTTTCTCCTGGTGTCCTGTAGAGCTCAGTCACTGCCTGACCGGTAAGGATGTGGTGATATTGGGAGCTCTAAGCTTTGGTTGTCTCCTGTGTGGGGTAATAAGTACCATATTCTGTTTGAAGGTGGCTGTATGTACGGTGGCTCCACCTTCTAATTAATGAAAAATAACGTAACTGGCTGGTCCTGACCCACAGGGATGGAGAGAGAGCTTGATTAATAGGAGATGGCTTGGCTATAGAAAATTAAGTACTGCCTGAAGCTGAACTTTGAGGAATATCTGAAAATGTGGCATGGCCAGAACATAAATGTCCCACCGAAGGTTCATCTAGCACAGTATCTTGTCTCTGTCAGTTGTGAGCAGCAGATGTTGAGGGAAAAACTGTAAAAAAGTGAGGAGTGTAAAGTCTTAATTCTCCCCTGGCGTTCACCTCAGTGATGGAACAGGCATGACAGTGGCTTAGGGGTGGTCTTGAGAAGGAAAAAGACACAAAGATAGAGCTTAAATTCTTGTGGCCTGATCTTATCTTCTCTGTGTTCTCTCATCTTAGGTAGAAATCCAGCTTTAGCCACTGCTGTGGTCATCTGGGGCCATGGAGAGTCAGATACTGGACTCTCTCTCCCCATATAAAGCCTGGCAGAGCTCTAGAAAAACAAAACAAACTTTTAAAATGTTTATGTAATGAATTTGTGGGTTCTGAGCCGTGCCTGGCCCTCTGGGAATACGTTAGGGAATAGCTGTGTCTCTAAATTGCTTGAGTGGTTGTTGAGAGCATCCAGACTCAGAGGACTAGCATTCAAAGTGCTGGTTAGGGTTTGGGTTTTTCAGCCTGCACGAGTGGTGGAATGAATGAAAGCAAATCATTTCTAGAACCGAGGTGACCTCAGATGGGTGAGCCTGGATTCAGATGTTATCAGAAGGCTGTGTCAGAGTTGAAGAGGAGCAAAAGGCTTATCTCAAATCCTAAATAACTCCCAATGCTTGTGTAAATCTCCTTTTTCTTTCTTTCTTTCTTTCTTTTTTTCCCTTTTCCTTTTTTTTCCCCTTTTCCTTTTTTTTCCCCTTTTCCTTTTTTTTTCCCCTTTTCCTTTTTTTCCCCTTTTCCTTTTTTTTTCCCCTTTTCCTTTTTTTTCCCCTTTTCCTTTTTTTTCCCCTTTTCCTTTTTTCCCCCTTTTCCTTTTTTTTCCCCCTTTTCCTTTTTTTTCCCCCTTTTCCTTTTTTTTTCCCCTTTTCCTTTTTCCTTCTCTGCTTCCATTTCAAAATCTGATATACCCCCATTGGTTTCCACCAGTGGAGGAGCTGGTTAGCTGGAGTCTGGAGTGCTCCTGTATAGGAAAGACAACTAGGAAAAGGCACAGATTTTGGGGCTTGTTGATTTTCCTTTCAGTCTGACCTCAATTTCAAGTTTCTTTTTTATTTTTCAGGGAAGAGGAACGAAACACTACGGCCTGATTGTGGTTGGTCATTCCCTGGGTGCTGGCACAGCTGCCATCCTGTCCTTCCTCCTGCGCCCCCAGTACCCATCTCTGAAGTGCTTTGCCTATTCCCCCCCAGGTGGGCTGCTGAGGTAGGTGCTGGGGCAGGAGGACCACAGGGGGTGGGTGTCATTGTAGCTGGAGCAAATCCTGGTTGCGATGCTCTGAGAAGCCATAAAAGACAAATTTCTGCCCTGAGAAGGGTGTAGAAAAATGGAGAAGGCAGCCCATAGGAGCTGGGGGTTGGTGGCAGCCTTTGCTCTGTGTTATAGTTCAGTATAAAGGTGGCCACTGTCCCAAATATTCTGGTTTATGACTTAGTTGGTGGTGGCCATAGCTCTGATTTCACCCTGACTAGTGGAAAATGCAAGTTGAGTGAAGGAGGGTGCAGTTTCCTCCTCCTCTGCTCTGTCCCCATCTGGTGCTGTGAGTAGGGGTACAATGAGGGAGATATTTGACCAAACGTAGGTGTCTGCAGCAGTTGATCTCATCGTCTGGGCTCCTGACAAAGCAGCTGGCACTTCTGGGGTGTGATTTCTGGCATTCTAAAGTGGGTGCCTAAAATAGGTCAGAGGGATCGTGCTTCTTGGGTGCCTGTTTCTGTCCCTTGGCTGTAGGGGGAATCTGAGGATTTCAGATGGCTGAAGAGCAGGTGTGATGAATTCCTCCCACTGTAAATTGGAACAGACCTGCTGGCCGTGTTATTTACCTGGTAGCCAAACAAACCCATTACGCTCAATTGCTGTGAAGTGAGATAAGGTCTTTTTAAGTCATGGTGGATGCCATGGGGACACGTGGAAGCAGTTATGGACCATCAGAAGCTTCCTGGTGGTGGTCGCTGCATCACGTTCCAAGAGCAGCCGAGGGTTTTAAACCATCCTGCTAATGAATCTGGACATTAGCCTGCCTTGTTATGATAATAATCCCTCCTCTTCTGCAGCTGTAGATTAATTGCTCTGCAGAACGTTTCGTGAGGGTTTTATAGCTTTCTGCTCAGAGCTTCCACTCCTGAGATCCCTTAGTAGCTTGGGCCATGCTGTGTCACCTCAACTGTCTCAGTTCAAGGAGGTGCCTCTGCCACGCTTTAATTGCACTATATTTTGTGCCCAGGGTCATTTCTAGATCAGCAATGTGACATCTGTCTGGGGTGACTGACCCAGAAGATGATTTCTAGGAAGGTAACTGATTGCAGAACCAGCTCAGAGAGTGGAAACCTCTCGATTCCCTCTTGTCTTGGTGCTCAGGTCGCTGCAGAAAGTGGCCCTCTTGGTTCTATGCTGTCTTTTTAGAGTAGGCTCAAGAGTGTGGAGTATCTTCTCCTTTCTATCTGCTCTCCTGGCCATTTCCAAACTACAGGAAAAAAGTTATGAGGTTGTTTTAGAGTCAGAGAACTCTAAAAAGTTGGTAAAAGTTAAAGAACTTCCTTTTCCAAGTATATTCAGAGCCATGTGCAGGTAAGGACGAAGGAGCTGCTCTGTATGAGCTCTATCATACAGAAAATAACATTGCTTGGGGCATGGGAAATGAATATCAGGCTTTTCTTTAGGAGGTTGTGAGTCCCAAAACACAAAGGTTGTGGTTTTTTTGACCCTGGTTCACTCCTTGGTAACCTTGCAGACACCAGTGACAAACTGGGAATGAGGTGCAGTTTGCTGCCAGTGAAAACACTGTTTGCTTCTGCTTGGTCCTGTTTCTCTTCCAGTGAGGATGCCATGGAGTATTCAAAAGAGTTTGTGACTGCAGTCGTGCTTGGCAAAGATCTAGTGCCCAGGCAAGTTGAGAAGTGTCGCAATTTCTTGATGAATATCTGCTGTTCTGTCCCAAAGCCACCTGTTTCCTGTCAGAAACACCTAAATCATCTCTGTCTCTAGTTTCCTCACTTACCTGTCCTTGTATCCTTCTTACTTATCCTCCTACTTCCCTGTGTCTTTCACCTGGACACCTATAGTCATGTTTCACATACCTTTTTATAGGGATATCCCCGACTGTATGAAAGAAAAGCGTGAAAATCCTGTCTCTCATAATTATATTTATTGTGGTGTCCAACACATGTCAATGGCGTCTTCCTGGTGGCTCCTGTTATCTCCAATCTCTTTACGCTCTGCCCTGAACTAGATGTTCTGTCATCTCATTTTTGTACCGTTTTTCCCTGAATTACCTCTTCCATATCATCTCCCATCTCTGAACCAGCTTCCTCATTTCTTCTGTCTTGGCATTTCTCACCTCTCATCCTCTCCTGGGGGCTGTGTCCAATGCCCCGTTCAGCAGAACCAGGAGCCAGACCACCTGGGTTTTACTTCTCCTTCTGCCCTGTTGTGTGACCTCACATAAATAGTGATATTTTTCTGCCTACAAGATGAGGGAGGGAGGGAGGGAAAGTACGAAATGGTGGGGAGGAATAACCATCCCCACCAGGACAGGTTGGGGGTGACCTGCTGGAGAGCAGCTCTGAGGAGAAAGACCTGGGAGTCCTGGTGGACAACAGGATGCCCAGGAGCCAGCAATGGGCCCTGGTGGCCAAGAAGGCCAGTGGCATCCTGGGGGGCATCAGGAAGAGTGTGAGCAGCAGGTGGAGGGAGGTCATCCTGCCCCTCTGCTCTGCCCTGGGGAGGCCCCAGCTGGAGCACTGGGACCAGTTCTGGGCTCCCCAGTTCCAGAAGGACAGGGAACTGCTGGAGAGGGGACAGCAGAGGCTACAAAGATGATGAGGGACCTGGAGCTTCTCTCTTATGAGGAGAGGCTGAGGGACTTGGGGCTTTTTAGTCTGGAGAAGAGAAGGCTGAGGGGGGATCTGATCAACACCTATAAATACTGAAAGGGTGGGTGTCAGGAGGATGGGGCCAGGCTTTTCTCAGTGGTGCCCAGGGACAGGACAAGAGGAAATGGGCACAAACTGGACCATAGGAAGTTCCACCTAAACATGAGGAGGAACTTCTTGACTTTGAGGGTGGCAGAGCCCTGGCAGAGGCTGCCCAGAGAGGTGGTGGAGTCTCCTTCTCTGGAGACATTCAAACCCCAGCTGGACACGTTGCTGTGGGACCTGCTCTGGGTGGCCCTGCTCTGGCAGGGGGTTGGAGGAGATGATCTCCAGAGGTCCCTTCCAACCCCATATTGTTCTGTGAATCTATGATATGGTATTGAATGGAGTCTTTGGTGACCTGTCTGACAACCTTGTCCATCCAGTCATCTGTTCAGTGGTGTCTTATAGCTCTCTGCCACCTTTCTACTTTATCTGTGCCATCCTATACTTGTTTCTTGCTCACTTCTTTCTGTGATTGCATCGTCTCCCTCCTCCTCTGTTCATTGACCTCTCCCATATCTGTGTCCACTGAGCTGATTCTGCTTCTATGCTTCATCCCTCTTTATAGTTGTGATGGTTTCCTGTGGCCTCTTAACCCCAGTTACTGGTCCTGGGTGATGCCACAACCCCCCTCTGAAATGATCTGCAGTTGTCACGTTTCTTGTAGTATCTTTTTGGGCGTAATTCCTTGTTTTCCTGCGCTGTGTGTCCCTGATGTCCTGTTTTGTCCCCAGCTCCTCTAAACACATCTTCCTCTTTTCCCAGAATCGGTCTCTCTCAGCTGGAGGGATTTCGCCGGCAGCTCCTGGATGTTCTTCAAAGAAGTAACAAACCAAAGGTAAGAGGAAAGATTAACAGACACCTGAAGATGGTAAGCTTTTAGTCTCACACAGCAACACTGCAAGCTTCTCCTGCCCTTTGAGGCCACTGTGACTACTATTTAGGTAGCCAGAGGAGCGATGGCAAGAGCTGGAAGGCAGCTGGAGGGGTCAGGGCAAAGGGCTGAGCTCTGTTTGAAGCCTGTGTGATGATTCTGGCTCAGGGGCTGTAGTTCACCATCAGAGGTTTAAAATAACCGAGCAGGAAATCTCCTCTGAGCCTGGTTTGAAGTCTGTGTTCCAGCTATAGCTTGTCTTGGCCAGTAACAACTGGTAACAGGCTAGCAAGTACCACACTTGTCTGCTTATAGATGCTGCTGGGTGGTGCTGTTCGAGGCCAAGTTCATGGTTTGGAGATGGGAAATGTGGAAGGTTGTTCCTCATCAGGCTTCTTTACCGTTAAACTGAGATGGAAAAAACAGCAGACATTTAAGATTTTTAGGGGGAAAATATTATAGAAATGACCTGCAGAGGGAGAAAACTGAGCTTACATTTACTTTTCGTGTTGGCATTCTGTGGTTTTTGTGTTGCTTAGGGGGGTTTTTTGGTGAACTTCTGGGTTTTTAGGATTTCTTTGAGTGCATAAAGAAAGGCTAAAACAAAATTCTGTCTGTTGTATAGTCTTTCACTTATTTTTTGTACATTGAAAATTCAGCTTCCATCTACCTTGTTTATCCTGGAAGATAGTGAGTTACAAATTTGGCCTTGTTCTGGATCCCTAATTCTACAAAAGCCTCTAGCAAAAAAAAAAAAAAAAGGAAGGATGAGATTTTGCCACTTCAAAGGTTAAAATAGGGAAAGGAAGAAACAGCTTTTCTGGGCAGGGTTATCTCTCTCTAGGTCTGTTATTTAAGCAATTGGGGCAAAAAAAACTGGTTTTTTTCCTTCTCTGATATTAGGTATCGAGTTTTAAACCCACCAATAATGTTTCTGAGATGATTCTGCTTTTCACTGATGTTTTTCTCTTCTCAATATTCTCCCTCGTGTGGAGCAGTGGCGAATCATTGTGGGTGCTACCAAGTGCATACCCAAATCCGAGCTCCCTGAAGAGACAGAAGAAAACTCTGTAACGAGTAATCGCCTCTGGACCCATCCCAGTGACCTGACTATTGCCCTCTCTGCCAGCACCCCCCTCTACCCCCCCGGCCGCATCATCCACGTGGTGCACAACCATCCTGCTGAGCAGTGCTGGTGAGTGCACGCAGAGCTGCCGAGGTGTAGGATCACAGAATGGTTTGGGTTGGAAGGGATCTTAAAGACCATCCAGTCCCACCCTCCAGCCCTGGGCAGGGACACCTCCAACCAGAGCAGGTTGCTCCAAGCCCCCTCCAACCTGGCCTTGAACCCCTCCAGGGATGGGGCAGCCACAACTGTTTGGGGCAACCTGTTCCAGCATCTCAACACCTTCACACCAAACAATTTCCTCCCCGATCTCATCTCTATCGTCCCTCTTTCAATGTCAAACCCTTCCCCCTCCTCCTAGGGCTCCCCTCCCTCATCCAGAGTCCCTCCCCAGCTTTCCTGGAGCCCTTTGAGGGACTGGAAAGGGCTTGAAGGTCTCCCCAGAGCCTTCTCTTCTCCAGGCTGAACCCCCCAACTCTCTCAGCCTGTCCTCCCAGTAGAGGGGCTCCAGCCCTCCCAGCATCTCTGTGACCCTGAGTCAGTAGGTGGAGGTTGAAATTTCCTTTTGGAAAAGTCTCCCAATGGCAGGAACCCATCCATGAAGGAGATGATTATTTTTTTTTTGCTGTCTCAGTGACAGTGGTTGTGTCTGTGGTGGCAGAACAGAGGAACAGTCGTGTCACTGTTGGCTGGTGCAGAGTTGTGAAGCAGCGGCAGTAACATGTACTTCAATATCTTCTCCCTCTGTTTTTCCTCCTGTTGCTTTTTCCGTCTCTTCAACCTGCTGTTTCTTTTCGCCCGCCAAAAATGTTGGGCTGCACTTTCATCTCCTGCTCCCTCCTTTCCCTGCTGTTGGCATCCTGTCTCCTCTCCCAGTTGCTGCGAGCAAGAGGATCCCACGTACTTCGCTATCTGGGGGGACAACAAGGCGTTTAACGAAGTGATCATCTCGCCCGCCATGCTGCACGAACACCTCCCCTACGTGGTCATGGAAGGGCTCAACAAGGTAAGGCAGAGAATTAGGATCCAAAGGGCAATTAGTGTCATAGAATCATAGAATGGTTAGGGTTGAAAGGGACCTCAAAGATCATCAAGTTCCAACCCCCCTGCCCTGGGCAGGGACACCTCCCACTAGAGCAGGTTGCTCAAGGCCCCATCCAGCCTGGCCTTGAACCCCTCCAGGGATGGGGCATCCACAGCTTCCCTGGGCAACCTGTCCCAGTGTCTCACCACTCTCATAATAAAAAATTTCTTCCTGAGATCTAATCTGAATCTTTTTTCTTCCAATTTAAAACCGTTTCCCCTTGTCCTATCATTACACCTCCTGGCAAAGAGTCCTTCTCCAGCTCTTCTATAGGCACCCTTCAGGTATTGAAAGGCCACTAGAAGGTCTCCCCGGAGCCTTCTCTTCTCCAGGCTGAACAACCCCAGCTCCCTCAGCCTGTCTTCATAGGAGAGGTGCTCCATTCCTCTGATCATCTTTGTGGCCCTCTGCTGCACCTGTGTCCTAATTAAATGAGTGCCTTGTCATGGGCCTTTATGTACACGGGACAAATAGACCTTGCCCAGGAGAGCTGGTTGTTCAAATACACAAGAGCGTTTATTTTGGAGGGGAGGAAGGAAGAAGGTTGTGCTCGGGGCCAGTCACGCTCAGGCGTGAGTTGAATGTAAGGAGGTCTGGAAATGGAATGTAAATCTCTGTCCCAATTCCCAGAGTCCCAGACTCAGGTCTTCTTTCCAAATTTAATGTGATAATAACATGAGATGGGGTGGTGTTTGGTTCCTTCTCTCAGAAGCTGCCCGTTACAGACCGAAGTTCAGGTGGAACCCAAGCTGCTCTGTTAGTCTGGAGGGTGACTGAGCTTGTGTGTGATGGTTTTACACTGGTTCTCTGCCACTAAGCTCCAGTTCCCAGCTACACAGCTCCACCATGAATCATAGAATCACAGAATGGTTTGGGTCAGAAGAGACCTTAAAGATCATCCAGTTCCAACCCCCTGCCCTGGGCAGGGACACCTCCCACCAGCCCAGGTTGCTCCAAGCCCCCTCCAACCTGGCCTTGAACCCCTCCAGGGATGGGGCAACCGCAGCTTTTAGGGGCAACTTGGGCCAGGCTCTCACCACCCTCACAGCAAAGAAGTTCTTCCCCACATCTCAGCTCCATCTCCCCTCTTTCAGGGTCAAACCCTTCCCCCTCCTCCTAGGGCTCCCCTCCCTCATCCAGAGTCCCTCCCCAGCTTTCCTGGAGGGACTGGAAGGGGCTGGAAGGTCTCCCCGGAGCCTTCTCTTCTCCAGTCTGAAGCCCCTCAACTTTCTCAGCCCCCCCTCTCAGCAGAGGGGCTCCAGCCCTCCCAGCATCTTCATGGCCTCCTCTGGACTCGTTCCAACAGCTCCATGTCCTTCTGTGCTGAGGACTCCAGAGCTGGATGCAGTGCTCCAGTTGGATCTCACTGTGGAGATTTAGCCAAGACTCCACTGCTCCTGCAGCATCCTACCAGTCACCTCCCCACTGGATTTCCAGTAGGGCATTCTGACAGCGTAGAGTACGTCAAAATTCATTGATATATAATCTTTTATCTCAAAACCTTGCCTTTGCAGAAGGGATTGGTAAAAAAACCAGCAGCAAATCCAGCTGTGGGGAAAGTTCTGAGCTGAAAAGAGCAAAGCTTCTCTCTCCAGTAAAACGCTCCTGGTCCTCTGCTTGCCTTAAACAGGTCTTGGAGAACTACAACAAGGGGAAAACAGCTTTACTTTCTGCAGCCAAAGTGATGGTGAGTCCTACAGAGGTGGATCTCACCCCGGAGTTGATCTTCCAGAGTCAGCCCTTACCCAGCGAACCCTCGGTGCAGATCGGAACCGGAGCCCTCACAGTGGACAGAAGGAACAGCAGTACCAAGTAAAAATATACCTTTGATTTCTTTTAAGGATTTGTTGGGTTTATGTGTCCTTTTTCTCTTGGGATGTTGCAATCCATGTTTGTGGAAAGGATAGATCCGTGGGCTGCTTTTGGGGGGCTTTTACTGAGTTTCAGGATGTTTTGTGTCACGTTGGGGGCGAAATCCTTTGTATTGCTCAAGAATCTGGGAGTGCAGCAAGGTCAGAAGAACCTAGAAGTTGAGGATTTACAAGAAAAAAACTCCCTTTTCTCCTTATCCAGACAAATGGGGGTTCCCTGAAAGAGTAAAGGCCCAGCTTGCCGTTTTTCAGCCAAATTTCTGGGTTTTTTTTTATTATTTTTGTGCCCTAAGATAACCTGTATGGTAATTCTCAAAAGCCGGGAAGAAGCGAAAGCCATAAGCTTTCAAAAATATCTGCATTAAAGCTACTTTAGGGTGTAATATTATAAACAGGACAATCTGAGAACATGGGTACATGGGAGGGGAGAGAGTTGGTGGCCTCATTCTGAAGGATAAGAGCAGGAGGCTCAGTCCAGGGGAAAAGCATGTGTTCTGGGTGCTGAAGGGGTGGTTTTCTGAAAGCTGACCACCACCGAGCACCAACGTCAGTGGCAAAGGCCAAAAGGTGAAGGAACATCAAGAAGGTTTACAAAGTGGGTTGGAGAAGAGCTTGTTCTTTGTGAGGTACATAAAGAGCTTTCCTCTAGGAGCTGATGCTTGCAGACCTTCAGGTAACATTTGAGGCGTCAGAAGAAACAGAAGGCAGAATTGGGGGTGGGAGAGGATTATTTCTTTGCAAGGGAAGCACTTCCCTGGAGATTTCAGTTAGAGAGAGCCAGGAAGAAGCTCAGTGTGTGTGTGTGTGGGACGAGGCAGTGTGAGATGGGCTGTGCTGAGAGATGGACGGCTGAGTTATCCTTGAGAGATAACACGAGTGAGATTTGAATTCAGAAGGAAGATAAGCCGCCAAATAATACAAAAATGACAAAGTTCTTGTCACAGAGAAAGCCAATGCTTAGAGACAGTGAAGGAGAGATTAGAGACAGCCCCACAGCTGGGATGAAACAGCAGGAACAGGGATCAGCCCACGTTTGTGAAAGCCTGAGAAGATGAACTAGGTCGAGCAGCAGGGACAGGAGCTGTGGTTTCTGTGCCACGGCCAGAGCAGACCCAAGGAGCTGCTTCCCTTTGAGGTGAGTGAAAGCAGAGGGGAAATTCCGAGATATGAAAGGGTAAGGAAGGGGGGGAGAGGGCAGAGAGGCTTAAGGGAGGTGCTAGAGGGGGAACAGTTGGAGGTTGGTTGTGTTTAATTTGAGGTTAGAGCCAGTTCACTGTGTCAAACTCCTCCTTTTGGGGTCAATTCTACTCTACTGAAATCCCAAAGGGCTCAAATATTGGCCTCATCGTAACCCTTTCCCTGTCCATCATGTCCTTTTGGCAGGTGGAACAGTCCTCTCCCAAGCTCGGGCTCTTTTCCCAGAGATTTCCCTAAATTCTTGTCTTTAGAGCTGTTGATTTGGCTGCAGCTGATCCCAGGCTTTGGATGGATGTGGGGACCTCCTTCTCCGTGTCCTTCCCCGTGTCCTTCCCCATGTCTCTCTGGAGGAGCCTGCCCCATCCTTTAAAGTCTTAATGTGGAGTCTCTAAAGATCTTTACTTGTTTTTAAGCTGAGTAAATTGCTTTTTAACCTATTTTAAAGCCTGCTACCTGAGGTGGGAGCTGAATTGGTCATGGTCGACGCTCCAAGAGCCTCCTGTATTAGTAAAATAGGGATTGTCAGCGTGGAGAAGGAGGGAAAGGCAGGAGATCAGAGTGGTTCCAGTGCATGAAAAGGAGGAGAAAGAAGTAGGTGAACTGTAGGCAAGTCCTTTGACCTCTCTTGCCTCCATCCTCTGTCATGCAGAGGTGTTGGGTGGGTTTTTCTGCCTGTGTGGAGACTTGCACTGTTGTTTTGGGCGCTTTCAGTTAGAAGCGCTGCACGTTTTCACCATGGTCCTCGGTGAAAATGGTGCTGGAGAAGGAAGACGTTGAGCCAGGAGAAAAGGGAGAAGGGCAAGAACCTGAGTTTGCAGAGAGAAGAAACTGTACTTAATATTTTCAGCTGGGAGGAGGGAGAGATAAGTGGTTTCTTGCCATTGTAGAACAAAGATGGGCCCTCGGTGTGTGTGAGGAGCTGTAGGCCCAAGTCTCGGTTCCTCTGACAGCCTGAGGTTCTGTGGGGTGATGCAGCCTCACCTTGTTTATTTTATTTCTTATTGCAGGAGCAAGTCCCATTCGGAAATTAGCTTGGAGGGGTTTTACGAGACCAAGCCCCTTTCTCCTGTGCAGAAAGACCCCGTGGAGCTGCTGCTCCTGGATACAAAAGAACGTCTGTCTGTGGAGCTGCAGGACCGTCGCGCTCCTCTGGCGACCATGGAGAGCCTCTCGGACAACGAATCCATCTACAGCTTCGATTCGAGGCGTTCCTCTGGGTTTCGGAGCATCCGGGGCTCCCCCAGCCTCCATGCTGTCATGGAGAAGGACGAGACGCACTGCTTTTACATAGACCCTGTTATCCCTGAGGAGAACCCTTCCCTCAGCTCGCGGACAGAGCTGTTGGCCGCCGATAGCCTCTCCAAGCACTCCCAGGAGACCCAGGCCCCCGACAACGTCCTCAACAGCGGTGGCACCACCCCTCAGCGCCGCTGCAGCGAGGAAGGGGCCAGCAGCGAAGGGGACCGCGTTTCCTTAGCCCCACGGGAGGAGTTATCCCTCCAAAACGGCCGCCTGGCTGACGTTCCCAGTCCCCAAGTGTTGGAATTTGCTGAATTCATAGACAGCCTCTTTAATTTGGATAGCAAAAGCAGCTCCTTCCAGGACATCTACTGCATGATGGTGTCAGACAGCTCCAGTGACTTTGCGGAGATGCCCAAGTCCGTCAGCGATCAGGAGATCCTTCTGAGGGCACAATACGAACCCAACTTAGTCCCAAAACCCCCCAGGTTGTTTGCAGGCTCAACGGATCCTTCGTCGGGCATCTCGGTCTCACCCTCTTTCCCCCTTAGTTCATCTGGAGAACTCATGGACATCTCTCCCACGGGAGTGAGCAGCCAGGAGTGTTTGGCCACTGATAAAATCCGGACTTCCACCCCCTCCGGGCACGTAACCAGCCCTGCCAAGCAGGACGACCTCATGATTTCGGCCCTTTAGTTGTAGGAATTAAAGGGATGTGGCTCTGCGAGCTGATTCCCCTAGGCTTGAATGCTGGGATAATAACGTGGAGGAGGTGGTGGTTCAGTGGGGCAGTTTGGGGTGGAGGAGACGGCTGGAAACGGTCCTTCTGGGGTGACACGGTGGTGGATTGTGCTGGAGAAGAAGCGTTGCCCCCCCCGAGGGGCTGCTACGCTGAGAGGGGTCCGAGTCGCTCAAGGTAGATGCCAATTCCCTACCTCAGCCTGTCTCGTTGGGTTTTGGAGGCAGATTCCTCGCCCCCCCAGGGCACCTGCTGAGTTTTGGGAGTGAGATCCCTCCCCGCTTCAGGGAATCCTCTGGGGTGAAGGATTCTCTGAAGCTCGAGGATTGGATAGAGAGAAGGGGGGGGGCACCAGGCCACATCATCTCCCCCCCTCTTCCTCGGTGGTTTTGGAAATGAACGGATTGAGACTTTGGGCCCTATTGCACTACCAGCTCGGATCTGGCCCAAGATCCAATTCGTCACACTTCCACAGGGATTGCTTATTTTTTTTGTAGGAACGCTCTCTCCCTGTTTTAAAGCCATTGGGGGCTGTATTTTCCCTAAATGCAGTGCCCCCCCCCCCCCCCCCCCCCCC